TTGATTTCAAAGACTCCTTCCCTTTTATCTGAAACGAAAGAGAGGCTGGTGAAGCCAGTATAGCTGCTACCTATTAACAAAACTGCATAAAAATTATGGGGTGTACTTAACCAATAATCATATCTGAAAGTAGGCCTCTTTCCTGGCCTAATGAAAGGCACTTTGTGCTCAAAAGTTTGTCTAACATTTCTCTCAGTTATGTAGTTGGTTCAATAACAAAAAAATCAGCAGAGAAAACCCTTATTTTTCTCAGACACCTGAGTAATTTTACTCCTCTGAATCATAGGAAAGTAGGGCTGGAAGGAACCTCTCAATATCATCTAGTCCAGCCCCCTGCAGAATCATCCCTGACTGAATCATCCCACCCAAGAGTCTATCCCACCTGTTCCTGAAAATTTCTAAGGATGGAGATTCCACAACTTCTCTAGGCCGCCTGGTCCCATGCTTGAGCACCCTCATAGGGAGAAAATTCCTCTTAATTTCCAACCTAAGTTTCCTCTGCTGCAGCTTGAGGCCATTACTCCTAATACTGCCCCCTATGGCCACAAAGAAAAAGCCATTTTCATCCTCTCTATAATCACCTTCCAGGTATATGAAGACCATTATCAAATCCCCACTCAGTCTTGTCTTATGCAGACTAAATAATGCTAGCTCTTTCAAGGTTTCCTCATAAATCTTCAACCTCTAATAATTTTTGTCACACTGCACTGAACTCTCTCCCATCTGTCCGCATCCTTCTTGAATGTACAGCCCAAAAATGGACGCAGTACTCCAGGTACAGCCTCACCAGCTCTGAATAGAATGGAAGAATCACTTCCTTGATTTTCAAATATCACTCCTGTTAATATAACTTAATATGCCTTTTTTGGCCTTTTTTGCAACAAGAGCACGCTGTTGGCTCATATTCAGTTTATGGTCTACTATAACCCCAGGTCCTTCTCTGCAGTACTAAGCCCAGCCAGTAATTCCCCTATCTGTCTTTGTACATGCAATTATTTATGCATGCAATTATTTTGTCTCAAGTGCAGGACTTTGCACTTGTCCTTGCTGAATTTCATCTGGTTGATTGCAGACCATTTCCAAGTTTATTCAGGTCATTCTAAATCCTAGTCCTACCCTCCAGAGTACTGAGTCACTCAATGAATTCAACCTACTCTTTCAGCCTGTAATAAATGTCTTACCCGAGCCAATGCCCCTGCGTCTTCACAAATAAACCATTTGTGACATAAGCGAACATAATAGTCTTGGTCTCCAGGAAAATGGGATATATTCACAGATATGACTTTCTTTGCCCTGTCCACACTGTAATCCAACTTCCCTGCTGAGATAAGAAAAAATATGGAATTATTTCACTGTATTTTTAAAGGTTCTTTGTTTCTTTTGTGAATCAACACTGTAAGAAGGGAGACTTGTGAAGTCCTATCTTTTATCATATTGTGAGGTCATATCTTTTACCCTACCAACTTCGGCAGACAGCCAAACCTAAATATAGTTAGAACAATTACTTTTGTTTAACCCCATTGTGCTGATAAAAAAAGATCAGGAATTGGGAAGTATTTGTTCCTTTTCCAGAGCTGAGCGTATTTTGTGCCTGAAATCTTGTCTAACATGTCACCTGTTTACAAATTTGATCCAGTAAAAGATTCTGCCTCCCCACACAAATCTTACTTCTTGTATACCCCTTTGATCATCACAGCTGCAAGACCATACTACTTCTTCCAGGCTGACATTTATGATATGGTTATTGTAGAAAAATACAGATTAATTATGATCACTACTTTATTTTCTATAATCATGATCGGATATACCACAAAGCTGAATTTCAAGGCCTAATCTCTGCAATATTATAAATTCCCATGTATGATATTTGATCTTATTCTATGCACAGTTATGTCTACATAAATATCTTCTTCTAGTTTAATTCTTTGACAGGACAATATTGACTATACTTACTAGGGCTCAAATTTCTAAAATTTGAAGAATCAAGGTAAGTGTTTTTCACCTTAGTTCCCCAAACTAATTATTCTGTGGTGAGAAGTGTTAATAGAAAATATGTGCAGTTAACACTTATGCCAATAACAGATTTTATCTGTTTATTTAACAATCTAATATTTACTGCCAAATATTCAGGTAGCAGGATGGCTAACTGTTTGGTTGGTTAATTTTCAATCTAAAGATCCAGACACATGGCACACATATAAAGGGTGAAGTTATAGATTACATTCTTTGATTCAACAACTTCTGTAACTTCACATGGCTTTTATTAATGATCCTGCATAAAGAAAAGCACAGAAACTGATAAGATAAGGTAAGTATAAGGTAACACTAACCTTACCAGAGCAGAAGTGTTGTGGGATGGGGGGAGGGAGTAGCAGTTAAGATTTCTCAATTCTGTCCCCAGACCTTACATGGTCTTAGGAAAATTTCATTTAAGGCAAACTTGTTAACACTCCATTCCCCAGTTTACTTCTTCATAGTATCTACTTACTATGGTGAAGTTACACTTAGACCATACTAAGGGACCTTAAAATGTGAGTGTCTCCATGTTAAAGCTCATTAACTTTTCTAAGTGTCTTCTGAGCATCTCAAAATTAAACTACTTCAAGCCAGGGTTAACTCTGGGCCATGCTACCTAGCTCATGTTAGGGTAACTTCAGTCTACTCCACAGAGATAAAATGAGCAATTTGCAGTCCTCCAGCATCTCAAGATGCACTGCTCCCAGGTCCCACCCTCCCTCACCCAACCACAGCAGGGACAGACCCCAAGTGCCCTGACTCCTAGCCATACTCCTGCTCACCAGCCCTCTAGCAACAAGTCAGAACTGCGCAAGCAAGAAAAGGTATTAACCCTTAATGTGCAACTGCTCACAGCATGTTCTTCCTTTAACACTACTTAATATTCCATAGATTGACTATGGTCTAAGTGTAACATGTAACTTCACCTTTACATCAATGTAACTTGCATCAATTTTGTACATTACTTTAAATTACCACCAGTAACTAAAGCAGATAAATGTGAACCTGTCCCTTCATTGCTGTAGGTTCTCTGATAGTGTCTTGCCTCTAAGTAGAAGGGGAACAGATAAGAGCCTGTTTGCCTTTATCAAACGGCTATCTTGAGCGAGCTCTGGACACACAACAATTAAACCAATTTAACCAACATTAATGTAGTACTACTTCTGATTTTCTCAGAATAGATCTACACCAGAATCAAGTAAGTTACACAGGAGTAGGGTTGTCCAGTGAATGACCACTTCTTTTTATATGACAGTAGCAGTTACTTGTACTAATGCAAATGTATCATGTGTCCAGGCCTTTTCTGTAAAATTGGTCAAGAGTGGTTTAGCTAGGATTTCTTTCTGCACTTGTCCCTTCACTCAGGGTCAGACCGATCACAGTATTTGGGGTCAGGAAAGAATTTTACCCTATGGTCAAATTGGTATGGACTGGGGGGGAGGGGTTGCCTTTCTCTGTAGCAGGGGGCATGGCCCTCTTCCTAAGATCTCTTGAGCACATTTTTTAACAGCCTTAATAGTAGCAGGATGTTGGCTGCTGTGGTTCCTCTGTTTTACCTGTGGCAGGCTAGGGTGTTATATCTTGGGTTGTGTGTCATAGTGGACTGTGTGGTTTTGCTAAGAGGTTAGGATTTGTATAGGATGGTTTGAATAGAGATGACCTTGCCTCAGACAGAAGGTTGGAGGTCCCTATGGAGGTCCCTTCCAGCCCTACTTCTCTATGATTCTACAATTCTATGAAAAGAAGGAATGGACAGGACACTGATCTGACGTCAGTTCCCGAAAGCCTGTGTCAGAACTCTTCAGCCTTCCTGGATGTTCTGTCATGGACCTCGAAGTAGCTGTTTTTAAACAATCAGGCTTTAAAAACCAAAGTGATCATGAAATTACTGAACAAGAGATCATCCACAGATTGTGTTAAGTACAGTCTAAATGGAGACTATGGTTTCTTACTGGATTATCTGGATTATCTTGTATGACACCTATATCCCTGTGGCTTTACTGCTGTTTGCCTCTCTCAGAACTGGCCCTCCCCCTTTCTCCTCTTTTCCTTGTCCTTTACATTTTAATTCACTCTTTCTATTTCAATGCCTGCTCCCTGGAAGTCCTTTTACACCACCTGGAGAAGTGAACTGTTGCTTACAAAAGTTAATACACCTCTGAATTAGTTAGTCCAAGGTGTAACTCTATCCTGTTTTCTGCCTTGCTGTATTATATTATTAAACATGAAGTTACAGCCTTGTTCTTCCAGTGTTAGGCATCCATCCATTCTGCCTGCCCCTTAAACATTCTCTACAAAGCTGCCACTATTTTAAAATATATTGACGTTCTCCACAGAAGCACTCAAGTTTTCCATTTGCAGGGGGAGGGCAGGTTGTTTGTTTACACTTTTTATTTCTTAGGGCAGGTCTGGTTTTGGTTTGTTTTTTCCCCTTTAGAGGCATGAAGGGAGAAAATAAATAGGCAGATTCCAGAAGAAAAGATTTCAAAACAGGACTGTTCTCAATATACTCAGTTTATAAATCCATCGCTATCTTTTTAAGGCATACATGAAAAATTACATGTTGGGTAAGTAAGGTAAGTATAAGGTAAATGGACACTCTTACAAATGGACACTCTTAATTTGTATTAAATCTGTATTCAATTTTATTTACTTGCCCATATGTAACTAACTTTCCATTGTGATATAAGAAGTAAACCTATGTACAAGTCTTGTCCCTCCATTAATAGACAAAGGCACTAAGATAAATTCTTTGATTCCATGATCTTACAGAACCTGACATGAAGAAGCAGATCAGGTGTGGGGGTGTGACTTAACCCTCCCTTTAGACCACATCATGAAAGCAGCTTCCCTCCATACTCAGCAACACCTACCATTCCCAATCTCCCTTGCCCCCTGGCTCACCGCTACTGCTGTTCCTGTTGTCCCCAGCTGATGTGGGAGCAGAAGGAGCTTCATCGCTGCTCCTGCCTTGCTCCAGCTGGGCTGTGCAGGGACCCAGGCTCAGCTGGGGACAGCAGCAGTGGTGGGAAGGTTCCTCCTCCCTGTCCAGTGCCCCCAGGTGTTCCCCATGAGTCTGGGGCAGGCGCAGAGTAGTCCGCCCAACGCCAGAGGAGGGGAGAAGCAGGGAGTGGAGTTACAACCATCCCTGCAGTGCTGGTCACTGCTCCCACACTCCCTTTTACTAAATCCTGGGCAGGATGAGACACAGGCATGGGTGAACTGGGTGGCTGCTTGGGGCCTGGACAGAAAGGGGGCCCCAAAATGGTATTTTTAATTTTTTTTTATTATTATTATTATCATCATTATAAAGGGGGGCCCAATACTAAAAGTTTGCCGAGGGCTGCCAAGAGTCTAGGTACGGTGCTGATCCTGAATCTACTTATGCTGACAAAAGGTTATGTCAGACAGGAAATAATAATGTTATGTTATAAATATGCAGTAACCAAGATAAAAACATAGAATGATGTAGTACATCATCATATGTAAACATGCAAGAGATTTTCTCAAAATATGGATCTATTTTAAGACTTCAAGGGGAGGAGCAGTATTGCCTCCCTCCCTCCCACCCCCGGCTGTTTAAAGACTCATACTGACAACAGAAAAGGATGTTGCTTAACAGACTGATTAAAGAAAACTCAGATTAAGAAACTGACTATGCAATGCTGTTAAGACCTCAAACTGAAAAAATAGGTGGAAAATACAAAGAAATGCCAATGTTTCCTAATCCCATTTGCTTTTAAATAATTTCGATGTTACTCATAACAATAGTTGGCAATGAAAAAACTACTAAAAAGAAAACACAGTATGTTAAATTGTCTATGTCCCTTTCAATAGAAATCTTTCCTGTAGGCCTTATACATTTGAGCAGTCCAATAATAATCCCTGTTCATTTGACTGATTTCTATAGGATTATTCATGAAATGCACACAGGCTGCAACAAGTATCTCAGAATGCATGGATAGGACCTAACCTACATGTATGTGTTTATAAGTTTAAATATTAAACAGGGCACTAACTACTTCATCTGTTAGCTAAACCTTCCAAACGAGTATTCATAAACACTTACATGTTCCACCATATCCAAAGTTCTGCCAATTCTGTAATAACTGCACTGGCAATAGTGATATACATATATTCATTTTATCTTTATATTTTTAGGTATCTGTTCATATCTGTTATGGAACTATGGAAATATATCAGTGTACAATCCACTTGAAGTACTGACAGCTCTAAGCTATATATTTCTCCTGCATTGTTAGACTACATAAATATACAAAATCAATGGAGTTGAGCTCACCCGAACAAGATGGAATATGTTTTCCCACATCATTGTTTCTGCAGTCTGCAAAATACAGAACAGACTATTTATTTATATACCTACAAGATATTTATGTTTTTACAAGATACCTCTACAGCTTCCAACACCATAATACCCGAGTGCCTCCCAACAGAAAATTTATCTAGTACTCCTGAGGATCATCTCACTAGTTTTGAGAGACAGATTTACACCCAGTAAAAATTCAGAGAGGATAACAGCGTACAGCAAATACTTCTTTCCCATACACTGATCACTTCACAGGAAGTAATGCAGAAGATGTCTCAGTGGTTTAGCTTTTTTCCACTATATATCCTAATCAAAACTTTAAATAAATTTCTAATTTGGGCTACTAAACCACACCCCAACCCCCTTTATGCAGTGTACCCATTAATAATTTTAGTCATTCCTCCCTTGAATAAATCTCCAATAGCTTTCCAGATTAATTTATCTGAAATAAGTAATTTGGAACTTTTCCCATGTTAATTTCTCCCACCCCAGGCTTATTTTAAGAATATGTTATTTAATGCCTAGGAAGTTAGCCAGGAATAAAGGCCAGTTAAATTCCTGGCAGATAACAAATACACAGAACTCAGTGCTTCAAAGCTTGATTCAAAAGAAGACTAAACCTGATCCATACAATTACAAATCTGTTTCCTAATCTTAATTTTCCCCTCTCTTTCTGCCTAAATAAATATTAGAACCATATTTTGTTTTCTTTTTTCCCCATATACTGCCAGTAGCAATTCTTCAGTGTATTTCTTTGTTCCTTCTTCCATATAAAGTGTTTTTATATTCAGTTTTCTAAAGGCTGGGGGATTTTTTTCCATTTAAGTTCACAAAGTACACTTTACATATAGGCTAGGTACAGATATTTAAAAAGCCTGAGGCAGAATCGATCCAAGTTACAAGATTTTCTGTAAGCAGTATAATGTAGATTGGTAGTGAACAGAGCACACATTCACCCTTTGGTGGTGGGAGCAAATCTTAGACTGGGTTCTGCCATTTTTAAACCAGTCTTTGTGTGCTGAACTTCTGTTTCTGATAGACTGGTTTCCAATCACTTATACTGGTAAAAGAGTACTGTCTGAATCTGGCCACAATGACAAATGTGGTAATTTAATAAGATGTTGAAATGCTTGCTGAATACTCCAAAGTTTACATATATAGTAAGATGTAACAGCATCTAATTTAATCCATGCAATACCATCTATCAAATTTTATAATAATAAATATTTGGGAGTCTGGAACTGTTACTATAATACCCAAATACACTGGAGCAAGTGGTAGAAGACCAATTAATTGAAAAGAAAAGCTTTGCACGTTTGTTTGGAATTTCCCAGTAAAATTTCCCCCAAGGGCTAATTCTATCCTTGAAAGCATATATTGGAATTCAGTTGGAATCTCAAAAAATGACTTGAAGCCAAATTCTCAAGTGGTGCTACAGGCTCCAACTTATATGCATAATTATATGCAAAACAATTAGGTAAAAGTGGATTCCTGACTGAACCTGTGCATTCAAGCTGCCAGAGGCATAAGTGCAGTTATGCAGGTACAATTTTGGTTCTGGATTTTCACACCCTTTCATGTATCAATCTTGGGTTTCACAAAGACCAGATTGAACTTCAGCTTATATAAAAAGGGTATATCTGAACTGGTGTGGCTTCATTTAGGTGAATTTATCCCAGAACAGGACCTGGCCTCAATGTTTTCCCACCGCCAAAACATCATGTTATGGACAATATCCTACCTTCAACATAGTATTCCTGACTCAGCTTTACTTCACAGTAATTTGGTATTGTTTTCATAGTCACATAGATGTGCTGCGCTGCTTTGACTTCAAAGCAATTAAATTGTACTTGTACCTGTTCAAAACATGTATTTAAAATCAAGTTTATGTATGACTTTCAGAAGGCATGCAAACTACAGAATATTACAGGATTAAACATGGGTTCTCTTTGGTTTAAACTAGCTTCTGATGACAAACAATATGACAAAGAAAGAGAAATTGTTTTCAGAAAGGATTTCCAAGAGTATCAATTTCTGATAGAAGAAATGATCAACTGTTGCACTTATAGGCCTGCATCCACATGAGCATGGACATTTGTTTCCCTGGGGGCAAGAAGCAGTGGCACACCTTGTGCCACTGCTAGCTGTCCCCAGGGAACGCCTATGCCACATGCCTTCTGGCACGCAGCAGGTGACCCCAGGTTGGGTAAGGGAGTCTGAGGCCAGTAGCCTTATCTGGGGTCCTGGGGACCTCAGGTAGCTGCAGCCAGGGCTATACTGCTGCTCAGAGTCTGGTCAGTAGCTGGAGCATGGCAGTTTTGGGCAGCATGCACTGCCCGCACATGCGCCACCCCGCTTTTTTTTTCCACATGGTTTTTTTTGACCATGGGATCTCCCTGCTACCTTACAGTACAGAGAACACCTGAATGTGCAGTGCATGGCACCAGACAGGTCTGCGGCATCACATATTGCACGGCCACACATCTGGATACAGCCCTAGACATCCAAATATCCATGAATTATCAAATGCTTTTAAAAGCTAAATGAAGGTAAACATTAAGGCTGAGATTGGAATCACCTTTGGAATTTCAGTGGGGAGTGGATACCTCCATTCTATTAGAACTCTTTAACAATCCCGATTTAAATTGCATTTTATAAGCCCTAGTACAGCTAATGCTTAGTTAGGAAGAAATACCCTGATGATAGAGTCTATGAAACACCTTTTATTTTTTTTTTTCATGACCAGTGCTAACTTTTTCATAATGATTCTCCAACTTAGGAGGCCAAACTGCAAAGCCATTTAGGTTTCTTCGAAAGCTTTACCCCAGATCTATAGAATTATAAAAATTAAGGGCTTGAAGGGACCTCAGAAGATCATCAAGCTCAACCCCACTGCTCTGGGCAGGAATACTGCTGAGATCAAATGATCCCAACAAGGTGCCTGTCCAGTCTCCTCTTGAAGACTTCCAAGGTTGGGGACTTCACCACCTCCTTGGGAAGTCTATTCCAGATTCTGGTCACCCTTACCATAAAAAAAGTCCTTCCTTACATCCAACCTGAAACCATCCTCTAACAGTTTATGGCCATTGCTCCCTGATGCCATTCTATTTGCCATTTGGCTCACTGATGCCAACAATTCCCACATTCCCTTCTAGAAAAGTCTTTATGTTGGCTATATATATTTTTGGGATAGGTTGCTAAACATACAACAGTACGAATTATTACTTTTCCATCAGAAATCACCCAAAGGTCATTATTTGCTCATCAAATGTCAATCTTTGGCATAAGGATTAATAATAGATGTTTACAGTAATCATGTTAATTTCTTCTGTAAGTTAATAATGTAGGAGCTGAGACAAGAGAAATAAAATCACTTGAGGTAACTACTCTACCTAGTGGATTCAAAAGGATTCCATAATTTTCCAAGTAATTTTCCCCCAAAAAATCCATAAATATGTTTTCAGAAGGATATACTTACAATCTATCCCAAGTTCAATATTTCTGGCTGTTTAGCAGCTCTGTGTTGCACTAAGCTGCATATGTTCAAAGGATGCTATTGGAGTGTTAGTGGCCAAATACCATTTAGAGGAAAAAGACCTCATTTCTTATATGTGACCAAAATGGTCTGTATACAGGCACAAAAAACAACCCCTTTTGTGGTATTAATAACCTAGCTACCTACCAGTAAGTAAAGACAAAATTCATCTCTCGTTTTTCATAAAGTGCAACAGATATTTAAAGATTTAAAGCCTAGCTTTTGGTGCTTACAAATTGTAAGTGCAAAGACTTAAAAGAGCAGTTTTACATTATAATTTATTTGCAGTTGCAATTACCCTAGAGGAAAAAAATAAGTAACTCATAAAATCATACTCATAGGCCCAAATAACATTGTGCCCTGTAGATAACTGAAGGTGCAAAATTTCACCCACAATTTTGCTTGCACAAAAGAAAATAATATATAGAGCATGATCATAAACTTAGTCTTTATAGAGTGCAGTACCTCATGCACCATGATGAAGAAATGGTAAAGAAGAGAGTTTACATGTTAAAAAAGTGATAAGATTTGAATTATATTTTGCTATAAGCAGGTTTTCCTGTATCTTTATAGAAATGTAAATTTCATGTTCAGTTTTCTACACTTGGTCTGATATAGAAAATACAAGTTTATAATGAACTTTGTGGGGTTTCCTTAAAGGCTTATAACATTTTTATACACAACTGAAACACAGTCTACCTTCCTTCCAAGAGGCTGCTGGTTTGTTTTTCGAGAAAACCTCACATTCATGCAACTGGTCTGCTGTGTGTCCAGTGAGAGATAACAAATTTCCAGCCCACGAATATTTTCTGAAATTAATCATAAAATTTATTTTAAAAGTCTACTTGCACCATCTTTAAAAAACAAAAGATAAACCAAACAAGTACAGTGCATTCAGAGTCTTTTATTCTACATTTAAGATACATATACTTCATCTGAATGTAAAATGTAAGTATTTATAATTATATCAGAGAGAACATAAATTGTTAGAAATGAATGGGCTGATCTTGCAAACCTTTAGGCATATGCTTTATTTTAAGCCTATGAGTAGCATATATTCACTTCAAGTTAAGCTTATAGATAGAATAGACAGAAGTTTGAAAGATTTGGTCTACATAGGTCCATTAACAAAATATGAAGATTAGGTTAATGATTAAATTAATTCAAAATGGTTATGGAATACAACTCATTCACTCATTCATGGCTTGAACAGAGCTGAGTGGACCCTGTGGGGGGACAAGGGAGGATGCAGGCTGCCCACCCTCCTGCCCTCCACCCAGGAGCCCCACACCAACCATGCCACCATGGCAAGGCACATCATGCCCACCTGGCAGCAGCAGGGGACACAACTCCATGCCACTGCCCCCCACTGCTGCCAGGCATGCAGGGGGTGCCTCGCCATGGCAGTGCAGGCAGCACAGGACTCCCAAGGGGAGAACAGCAGGGCATAAAGCCCTGAGGGTGCAGTGAGCAGCTGTCATCTGCCCCCACCCTGCACACAAATCTGGGGGGCACATGTCCCCACATAACTCCCTCCCCAGGAGTGCATGCAGCAGCAGTTAGTTGTCCCCATCCCCTTTATGAGCTGCCCATGGCTCTGTCCCACTCCCCACCCCAGCTCCAGGCCCCATGCACCACCCTGGCCAGGCAGCACCCACAGGCCCAGCCCTTGCCCCACTCCATCTCTCACCATGGTTACTTTGATCTGCCCTGTCCCCCCATAGACTTACCTGCAGACAGCTGGGGGAGCTGCTCTCCACCATTGCCTGGGGTTGTATTCCCAGCCATGTGCATATGTGCACATGGACACATGCACACGGCACCCCCACAGCCCCTTGCAGCCTGGAACTCTACCAGCCTGCAAGGGGAAACCTGCTATTTCCCATGTTTTTCCATGGTGAACAGAAAACCCAGTTCCCTGCACGATACTGGGAATCCAAGACAAATGCAGTCCTAGAGTCATGCAGCCTGGGACCAGGATCTGATGTTCCCATTTCAGGACTGTCCCATCCAGTTAGGGATAGGTAGTCACTCTATTCTCTTCCTGAGGGAGGCCAGGGCCCTCAGGCCCCCACTTCTGCAACACCTATGCTATGAAAAGTAACTGCTTCTGTGGAGGCAGTGTCATGTGCCAAAAGAGGCACAAGATAGAAAGGCCCATGATTTTGGCTGGATAACGGAAATTATTGGGTACAACATATCTGGAGTTAAGTCTTGGCTCCACTGAAGTCAGTGGCAAAAATCCTGCTGACATCACTGGGACCAGAATTTCACCCTAAGGTTTTTGTAAAAGCATGCATAAGCTATTCCACAGAACCTGACTGATGCGATTAATTCAACTTGGCTTATACCCAAACTAATAGAATGAAATTGGGCTGAAGGACCAAAAACAAAAAGTAAAACAAAATAAACAAAAACAAAATAATCCAGTAACAAATCAGTTGTCTTACCATTGAGACTGAGTATTCCTTTAATATTTAAGTGAAGGAAGCATTGACTTCCCTTTACACACTTCATTACTGTCGAGAGCTTCATGCTTTTCAGTGCAGTAGCAGATGAAGTGGTTGGAGCAACTCGGCAGAAACTGTTAAAAATATCAGCTGTGAATATTAAAAACATACATATATAAATCCCACTGGCCATATGCCATTTTGAAGGATACAAATGAATCCAATAACTTCAAAGAGGAAATCTTGATTATATTAAGTGGAAATGTTACTATTAACTTCAGCTGAATCAGGAATTCACCCCAAAGCAGCTGCCTGAACAGAAGAACACTTGAACTCGGTGGGGGCCAACGTTTTTGGCAGGCATGCCACAAATTAGCTCCACACCCTCCGGAAATGCCACTGGGATCCCCTTCTCCTATATGATCTGCTGCTCTACTTTCTGATTCCTCCTTTGCACTCCCTACCTTATATTTGCTGCTTTGATTTCTGCTTCTTGCCTTAACTGTCAATGTGCCATGTGCCACAGAGGCTTTCCGTGCCTGCTGTCTATGCCACAGGTTGGCCATCTCTGTTTTAATTGGGCTGTAATTATTTGGGCTGGAGGGCCACTTAGGGAGTGTTAGCAAGCTGCTGTGGGCCAGGGCAGGGGGGTGCTGAACCAGTGCAGCATTGTGATTGGGCGACGCTGACCAGGTGTGGGGAACGGGAAGAGCAGAAGGAGGAGCGGGAGGGGGCAATTGATCATATCCAGCCCATGCCCATCCACCCCACACCCACTGCTGGGGGTGCCAGACAGAGTGGGTGGGTGGGCAAATGGGGTCTCCATGGAGACTGGCCTGGGACTCCTGAGGGTAGGGTGCACTCAGATGGGTGGATGGGATGGGGCTGCAGACAGGTGGGGAACAGCATCTGTGAGTGGGATGGGTGGCCAGGACTGGGGCCAGGATCGTGTGATGACAGTATGCGGCCGGGGCCAGGGCCAGGGGCAGAGCAAGAATGAGGGGAGCAGATCATGGTTCTGCCCGGGGCCCCACCCCCATGCTGTCACCACCCTGTGATCTTGACCCCAGCCCTGCCCACCCATCCCACTCCCAAACAC